GGCGTCGGGGTCGTCGGCAGTCTGCGTGGATCTGTAGAAGCCCGCCGCAGGCGCTGTTTGTTCTACACATCGCAAGGGCCTCACTGCCAGTGTCCCCCGACCCTGCTCGCGCTAGGACTTGTGCCAGGGCGAGGAGGAGGAGGAGGAGGAGGAGGAGGAGGAGGAGGAGGAGGAGGAGGAGGAGGAGGAGGAGGAGGAGGAGGAGGAGGAGGAGGAGCAGGATGAGGTTATGATGCTAATGATGATGCTGATTCTGATTCTGGCTATGATTATGACTATGATGATGATGATGATGATGATGATGATGATGAAGTTGATTGTGATGGTGATGGAGATGATGACGATGATGCTGCTGCAAATATTGATGATGTTGACGATGGTGATGATGGTGCTGATGATGATGACGATGACGACGATGATGATGCTGATACTGAAGATGATGATGATGCTGATGATGATGCTGATTCTGATGCTGATGCTGTTGCCGATGCTGATGCTGCTGCTGATGCTGAAATGATGATGCTGATGATGCTGTGGATGAGAATGACGATACATCTGATGACGGCTATGATCATGATGATGATGATGATGATGATGATGATGATGATGATGATGATGATGATGATGATGCTGATGATGATGATGATGATGATGATGCTGATGATGACGATGATGATGATGATGATGATGATGATGCTGATGATGCTGATGCTGATGATGAAGGTGATGGTGATCATGAAGGAGATGATGCTGATACTAACGATGATGCCGCTAACGATTATGATGCTGATGACGAAAACGACGACGGACGACGGTGATGAGGATGTTGATTATGACGATGGTACTGATGATGAGGACGATGAAGATGATGATGCTGATGCTGATGGTGATGATGCTGATGCTGACGCTGGTGAATATGATGCTGATTTTGACTATACTGATGCTAGCGATGAGGATGGACATGATGCTGATGACGCTGATGATGGTGATGATGAGGCGGAGGAGGGTGATGATGATACTGATGATGATGATGATGATGATGATGATGATGATGATGATGATGATGATGATGGTGATGATGAGGATGATGATTGGGCTGATGCCGATGATGCTGATGAGGCTGATGGCTGCGATGTTGATGATGACGATGACGCTGACGCTGCTGTTGCTGAGGAGGAGGATGCTGACGATGATGGTGGTGATGATGATGATGATGATGGTGATGATGCTCATGAAGATGATGTTGGTGATGGTGATGCTGATTACGATGATGATGATGATGATGATGATGATGATGATGATGATGATGATGCTGATGATGGTGCTGATGCGGATGCTGATGATGACGATGATGATGCTGATGATGCTGATGATGATGATGATGATGGTGGTGGTGGTGGTGGTGGTGATGATGATGATGATGATGCTTGCGGTGGTGATGGTGGTGATGATGATGGTCATGATCATGAGAGGGGGAGGAGGAAGAGGAGGACGAGGAGGAGGAGGCGCAGGCAGAGGAGGAGGAAGAGGAGGAGGAGGAGGAGGAGGAGGGGAAGGAGGCAAGCTAGGTGCGCTCGCGTCATATTTGACGTCTTACCCCTCCCTTCCATCTCTTACCATGTCGCAGACCTCCTCTCGTTTCGAACAATGGATGTCGTAGGATGGCATCGTAGCATAGCATTACATGGCATAGCATGGTGTTGAATATTAACGCGTAGCATGACATGGCATGGCGTGGCGACGCCCCACAGGGGGGGGACTTTCGCGGCCCCAAAACATCAACGACTCGTCATCGAATGTGTAATCACTTCCGATGGTTTCTTCGGGAGGCTATTTTTCTAAATTTTGGAGCCGTTTGGAAGGACCGACAACCATGCCGTGGCATGGCATTGGACATAATGACGCCAGCGCTGCAGCGGGAGCACGATTCGGAACGACCGGACGCGCGGAAATGAGGTCAGCGCTGCAGCGGGAGCACGATTCGGAACGAGCGGTAGCCTGAGAAATGAGGTCAGCGCTTCAGCGAGAGCAGCATTTGAAAAAAACCCAAGCTCAGAAGCGCTGAAATTAGGACGCGTAGCTTGGCATAGCATGGCAGTGGGGGGGTTTCCGCGGCCCAAACAATCAACGAATCGGTAACACGTGTGTCATCACTTCCGATGGTTTTTTCGTGGGGGCATTTTCTAAATTTTTGGGCCATTTGGAAGGACCGACAACCATGCCGTGGCGTGGCGCTGGAAGTAATGACGCCAGCGCTGCAGCGGAGCACGATTCGGAACGAGCGGACGCGCGGAAATGAGGCCAGCGCTGCAGCGAGAGCACGATTCGGAACGACCGGTAGCTCGAAAATGAGGCCAGCGCTTCAGCGAGAACAGCATTTTGAACAACAACCCAAGCGCGGAAGCGCGAAAATGAGGACGCGTAGCATAGCATAGCATGGCGTGGCGACGCCCCAAAGTGGGGGGGGCCTCTGCGGCCCAACAAATCAACGAATCGACACCGAGTGTGTAATCATTTCCGATGGTTTTTTCTGGCCTATTTGGAAGGACCGAAAGACATGCCGTGGCATGGCGCTGGAAATAATGACGCCGCAGGAAATAAGAACGCCAGCGCTACAGCGGGAGCACGATTCGGAACGAGCGGAAGCGCGGAAAAGAGGCCAGCGCTGCAGCTGAGCACGATTCGGAACGAGCGGTAGCCCGAAAATGAGGCCAGCGCTTCAGCGAGGGCAGCATTTTGACAAATCCAAGCGAAAACTCAACTCCCGGGAATCCAGTGTTTAAAAAACCAGCAGCACGCGGAGGGAGGCCGAACAATCCCTGGTCGCCACAAGTGGAGAGAGGAGAGAAGTATTCATATTCATATTGTTGAATTGTAGAAAGGAGGAGCTAGAGGAGGAGGAGGTGGAGGAGGAGTAGGAGGAGGAGGAGGAGGAGGAGGAGGAGGAGGAGGGGGAGGAGGGAGGAGGAGAATGAGGAGGAGGCGGCGAGGAGTACGAATAGGAAAAGGACGAGGAGGAGGAGGAGGAGGAGGAGGGAGGAGGAGGAGGTGAGGAGGAGGGAGGGAGGGAGGAGGAGGATCGGGGGAGGGGGAGAGTGGGAGGGTAAAAGGGGAAAGCGTGTACGATGAGGACGAAAAGGACGACGACGAAGCGGACTAAGACAACTACAACGAGGACGAGCACGACGAGGACGACGAGGACGACGAGGACGACGAGGCGACATCGACGACGAGGACGACGAGGACGACATCGACGACGACGACGACGACGGTGAGGCAGACGGAAAAGAGTAAAGGAGGAGAAAACAAACGGGGGGACACCTCGTCCAAGGCAAGTGCCGCCCAGGGCATTTACAACCACCTGGGAGCCCCCGCCCCCCAGGTGGAGGGTTTCTCCGAAGGGCTTAGGCGACCCGTCCTCCGCCTCCTCCTCCTCCTCCTCCTCCTTCATCTCCTCCTCCTCCTCCACCTCCTCCTCCTCTTCGGGTCGCCTACGGCCCCGGGGGAAACCGTGCACCCCCAGGACTCCCCAGGGACAAAATACCCTAGGCCCCCTCCCTCCCCGCTTCTGGAGGGATTAAAGGGACGGGGCGTCCCTTCTACTCGATGACGACGTTTTTGCATTTCCCAAAGAGGGATGCTTCCTCAAAGAGGGGTCACGACCCCTGGGAATCCTTTGGTTGTCGTCGTTCTCCTCCCCGTCCTCTTCCGCGCTCTCACTAGCAGCTGCACAATGCCCGCCTCGCCTGAGGGTTTCCGGGCTCACTTCGGCTCCTCCGGCTCGATTCCATGCGTTCTCTAGCGATTCCGATTCCGATTCGATTCGATTTCGAATTCCGATTTGGATTTTGTTTTCTCAATGGAGGCCTTACTAGCCTGCTGACTTCTGCTGATTCCACTTCTCCCGACTTGGCTGCCGATTTCCGCCAATCCGATTCATTTCGATCGACGATTCGACTTGCCGATTCGATTATGGGCTCTTCTGGGTCTAGAGTTTCTTACGCGCGCGGCGCGTCGCGGTGACATGTCTTGACCTGATCCTCATCTCTACGCTTAGACTGGAGACCAGTTGCTGGCGATCGGCGACTGCAATGTGGCGGCCGTGGGGCCTTGAAAAGAACTCTTTTACGTGGGCCCCCTCGGTTCTGCCCGCACCTGCCACAGGAGAGCGTACATTCATTCTAGCTCCCCCCCAGGGTCACGGGCGGCGCATCACGCATCGCACCCCAAGCCTCTTCACAATGCAAGTTCGCAGATTCAAGGCTTCCTATCTTAATTCTCGTCGCCACATTTGTCGTCGTTGCCTACATATCTGTTTGTGGGAAGCCATGCGACGGCACTCCATGTGCACCCGTTTTGCTATGAATGCAAGCCCATACGCGCACGCACGCAAGTCCAGAGACGCGGCGTTTCAGGTTCATGCCTGGCCAGGTTCCCCCCAGGGAGGCAGACGAGTGTTTTTGTTTGATTGTGTGTTGGCTTTGGGAGGGACCCAGCGACAATCGTTTTGACTCAAGACGGTCCAAAAGGGGCCCAACGAGGACCCCGAATTAGTCTACCGGATGGTCCAAGATAGCCCAAGAGCGCACCTTTGGGGTCTTCAAGGCGGCCCGGGAAATCGTCGAGATAATTCTATCGAGGACCTGTACATCTATATTGTCATGAAGTCGCCTTCGGGGGTCGCAAGACGTCACACAACACGTCCAGAAGACCCAGAAAAACACCTCGATCGATCTCCCGGCATGGCCTTCGATAGCCCAAGAGCGCCCTAGAACGTTCCCAAGGGTCCTCGAGACGGCCCAGGAAGCCTTCAATCTAGCTCTCAACTCGACTCAATCACACAGCACGCGTCGCACATGAAACGCATCGCGAAATTCACAACGCACAACACCCAACACGCATCGCACATCGTGCAATATCTCAGGCAGCGCAACCATCACACAGATCACACAAACGCACACATCACACACATCATACAACTTACTCGCTTGGTATGAGTACGCACCACTCATCAATCGGCACACAGACACTCCGTAGCCATTTTGGCTCAAGCCATTATTGCAAGGAGTCCACTTCGACCCAAGTTGCTTTCTTCAGTCGTTCCCGCGTGGCCAGTCTAAGGACCTCCTTGCCAATTTCGCTGCAATGGCAAATTTGACGTATGCCGGCCGCGTCTACCAGAACCCGATGAACCCCCAGGAGATTTGGGCCAACATTGGTTGGAATACGCATGGCAAACAGCTATTCCCGCCGTGGGAACCCGCACTTGGGGCAGACGTGTCTGAGGGCGACTACAATAAGATCATGGACGCCCTCCAGTCCGAGTTTGCAAACAGCCCCACCCCGAATTTTGCTTTAGCACACTGCGCCATGATGCTCTGCATCCTCACGGGGGGAATCCTCTCCTGTCCTCTGTGCTACCTGAAGATGAAGATCAACGAGTTCAACGCGAAGCTGAAGGAGCTTCCCGGCAGGGGCAGCATGGATCTCTGCCTGGGGGGCCACCTTTGGGCTACAACGTCATTTTTACCTTGCCTGCAAGTCTGTCATGGCCGCCCAATGGCGCGCCAGGACAACACATGATGGCGGCCCCAACGACCGCCGTTGTCACTGGGGCTCAAGACGTCGCCCAGAAGATCATGTCGCTCAAGCAGTTGCTCGATGCAGGTGCGCTTACTCAGGAAGAGTTCGACGCGAAAAAGCAGCAGCTCATGGATCAGATGTGAGCGTGGTGACATCTATGGGGCCTCAGCTGGATACCAGTGTAAAGCCGCCAGCGCCTTAGCGTCTGAGGCCTCGACCGCACTTTTTTGTTTCCTAACCATAATGTGGTTTGGGTCCTCGTTGCCCCCTCCCTCCTCCCATCCCTGCTTCTGTTTTCACTTATTATTCCCTCCCTCCGCCTCTCCTCCACAATGCCCGTGTAGGGCACGGCGCGCGAGCAGAGTATGTCTTGATCCGTCAGTCGCCACTTACTGTGGGGGATGGGGGTTTCATGGGGGTGGGAGGGAGGTACGGATTCCTTCCTTCGGTTCGACGCGTCCCGTCCGCTCTGATGCGGGGGTCCATTCGTGCTGTGCTGACCTTGCCTCACTTGGTGCCCGTGCAGATCATCGCTTTTTAGTTCAGCCGGCCTGTCTGACTGTTCTTTACAGTTTCTGCGAGTTGCAGCGCCACTCTTTCGCGACAGCCGCCAGGTTCATATCGCGAGCAATCCAATAATCTGCTGTCCTCAAGATTTCGGCTCCGCCCACCCTGTTCTCGAGGGGGGTTTTCCGCACGTGGACTCTCTGGGCCTGGAGGGTCACCTGGAATGCCAGGTCAGGTGCAGATTTTTTGGAGGCCCATTTCGGGCTCGTGCTGGGCCCGCGCGGGGACGTTCGAACAGCACTTTGGGGCTTGTGGCCCCACGCTCGCTCTCGTCTAGAAAAAAAACAATCGGCACACAGACACGCGTAACGCGCTCGCGCACACGCGAACGCAACCAGGCAGGCACGCACGCACCCACCATACACGACGCTCACATACTCTTCGTTGCCGGCGGTGTGGCACCGCAGTTGCGATACAACGTGTACAATCAACGCTCGCAAACATAATATATTTGCTCCGGCTCGCCGACGAAGTGCAGTCGACGAGTGCTGAGCGACGCGCCGCGGAAGCAATACATTGGCCACCCTGTGTATGGAGACGTGCGCTCAACACAGGAGTCTCGACAGCGGCCTTGCCGACGCGAGCCAGCGAGCAGCCTGGGAGACAGGATGGACGGAGATAGGACACGCACCACGGGCGAGGGCAGTACAAACGCACGCGTACACGCACGTACACCACGCACGCGCACGTGCGCGCGCAAGCGCATGAGCACCACGACACACCGTCATGTCAGACCATCACGACGGTGCAGTCCTCAGCCACCCAGTGGACACCAGCGACGCTTCCCGTCTTTGGCTGATCGGTTTGTTCCGATCTGGGCGCTTTGCTGCGGACTCTGCAGTCTGGGGAGGGGGTCGCCCCCCCCCCCCCCGCCCGCGGACCGACGAAGAGGCGCAGCGGCGTCTGCCGTGCGCCGCTCATCGTCGCTGCTCCCTCCCTGTCGCTGCTCTCCTCGTCGTCGTCCGCGCCCGCGGGGTCTGCCCTCTCCTCGCCGCTTCTCTCCGAGGCCCCCGCCGGGCCCCCCCCCTCCTCCGCGGGGGTCCTCTTGCGCGCGCGCTCTTCGGCGGCGAGGTGTCGTGACCAAAATAGACATCATGGACCAGGGCACCGACGCCTGCAAGATGCTCCGCGGCGAGGACTGGGGCGAGGGCACCGCCCCCGCTTGCCACGTCGCTTGCCTTACCCAGTGGGACAACTGCTTGTGAACTCGAAGGAACCCGAAGGAAGGAGGAGGGAGGAGGGATGAGGAGCCAAGACGAATTAGAAGGGGAGGAGGGGATGGAGGAGGAGGAGGGGGGGGAGGGGGGGGAGGAGGGGGGCAGGACGTTCCTCTCCGGCTCGGGTACGTCGGGGTGAAGATGAGGAGCCAGCAGGACATCATTTCGAAGAAGGCCCCGCCCCGCAACGCCTTGCTCGGAGGTGCGCCGTGAGATCGTCGTCGTTGTCGTCGTCGTCATCGCCCTTCTACCTTTCTCGTTGTCGAGAAGGTCGGGAGCTCAGTGAGACGTTGCACAGCGCAGCACAGCTTGAGCATGTCTAGCCCAGCCAGCTAACGAACATGCCGGGGGTTCCGAGCACACGGCCCTCCCAGGGCGAAGGGCGGCAGGCGGCAGTCGTCCGAGGCGTGAGTCGTATAAACGTGCGCTGCACATCGGTAGGGATGGCAGCACAGCAGTTCGCGGACGAGATGGAGAGCACCTGGGAGACAATCCAGGACAATCGCGAAGAGCACCGTGCGCCCCAGACAGAGCTTGATGACTCCGCGCTTTCGCCCACAACACTGATGTGCGCGTCGTCGTGGCTACGTTGTCGCCGCCGCCGCCCTGTCGCCGCCTCGTGACCGCCCCGTATTGCGCAACATAGATGCGCCGCACAGATTGCATCACATAGACTGCACCACATCGCTTGCACAACATAGACTGCATCGCATGAATCGCACCACATGGACAGCACGACGTATAATGCATCACATAGAATTCACAACATATGTTGCACCACTTATATCGCACCGCATAGACTGCTCCATAGAGAGTGCACAACACAGGTCGCACCACATACATTGCACCAGTTAGGCTGCACCGTATATCTTCGCAGAACATATACTGAACCACATGTATTGCACAGCATACGTTGCACAACATAGAGTGCAAATGCATATTGCACCACATAGGTTGCTTGTCATGGACAGCACCACATACATTGCACACCAAAGCTTGCACTACATTTATCGAACTACATAGGTTACACCACATGAATTGAACGACGTCTATTGTACCACATGACTTGCACTACATAGGTTGCACGAATTCTGTGCGCAACACATACTTTCTTCACTTTCAACAATAAGGATGTACACCCCCTGGCTTTATCGGTACCCTCCCAGGGATAATGCAATCTATCGATGATGTTCCACAATCGTCAATGTCAACTATAAGTTCAGACCATCTTAGGGGGACCTGGTATCGTCCCCACCTGTCATCCCAAATAATGCTATGGGCGCTTATTCGTTTACCACAAATCGTAATTTTCTGTAATATTATGCGACGCATTGGACAACCTCCATACGCACGCGACGTCTCGCGTGCATGCCGACATTCTTTACAAACCTTAGGTTTCGTCAGGATTTCAGATAGAATTTTGTGCGAGGATAAGGAGCTGACCTATTCATTCTTCCATCGCCGCATCTCGGCTCAAGCATCTTGACTGGAAAAAGCCAGTTTCAAGTCAATCTCAGGGGCCTCTCCCATAAGATCCACAGATGGCGGCGGAGCCCAGTTGTTGCTGAGTGCCACAGCTCACGAGATCCCGGACCTCGTGACGGCCCCGTGCGGTGGCCCACGAAGCGTGCGCCATGGGTCCCCCGGAAGAGCGCCTGGCGGCCGTGGAGCGGGCGCTTGCTGCGCAGCAACGCGCAGCTGCAGGCGCAGGCGGTGCAGGCGCAGGCCCTGCAGTCTTCAGGCTGTACTGCATCGCGATCTACTCGGAGCTGGGCCCGCTGCTTCAGAAGGCGGAACGTGGCGACGACGAGCTGGCGATCACCAGCATCAGCCTTTCGCCATTGTGTGAAAGTCTCTCGCGCCAGCTGTACCACATGCTGATCATGACCTGCACCTCCGCGGCGCTCAATCCAGTGCTGAATGCGAACGACTGCGCGGGACTACCACTGCCTGGCGCCACCTCGCCTGGCGTCACGACCCGCAGAGCAAGCCGCGCAAACTGGCCATGCGGATGGAGATTCCTGGGCTCAGCTTCGAGGGCGACTTGAACGAACGAGTCGAGTCTTTCGACCGTTCCCTGCAGCGGTAAGACACCTTGCCGGGTGGCGAGTTCTCAGGGGACGTGAAGGTTGGCATCGTGGCGAAGCAATTGCCCAGAGGCCCGCTCAAGGACCACCTCGTGCTGAACATGGAGAAGTTCGACACGGCGGCCAAAGTGCGGGACGAGATCGACGTGGCGATACGTGCTATGATGACCACGAGCGGCTCCTCCACGGCGATGGAGGTAGATTCGCTGCAGCAGGTGATCCAGTAGTTGAACGCTCTCCAGGCCGTCGTCAAGGGCAAGGGCAATGGCAGAGACGATTCGGGCAAGGGCAGGGGTCCGCCTCCGAGTACTCCTTGCCCCCCCCCCGGGCCACAAACCCGTGGCATTGGGCGCGAGACTGTTGGTGCAACCAGGAGAGGCCGAACTGCAAGGGGGTCCCGCCGCCGCCTCCGCCTGCTCCGAACAGGCGGCGCGGGCAAGGACGCCGGAGGCCAGGCGGGCAAGGCGCAGCCAGCCGCCCCGAAGGGCAAGTGCTGGAGCTGTGGCCCGCCCTGGCGCCGAGCGAGCGCCTGCCCTTCGCAGGGGCATCGGAGCTGGCCGACCAGCCAGAGCTAGGAGAGCGTCAAATCAGGACAGGAGGCATGTGGAGTTCCTGTGGTTCGCGACCTCCCTTGCGGGCGAGTGTGGGAGGCGGTGCGGTGGTGGCGGCCACCCAGCTGTCCGCGGCGGCGGACTACCGCGCCCGCGCGGACTCCGCCAAGGGCGCGGCTGTACAGGTCGGCGACGGGCGAAAAGATATTGGACGTCGGTCAGAAGCCCCTTCCGTGCCAGGGTGTCCTGAGGGGCAACGGGGCCGCTGCATGGACGTGAAGAAGGTCTTGGTATTTGTGTGCGACCTGTGCTCCACCTGCCATCGTGTCATCATCGCTTCTGGGTCATCGCCATCGATTATGGCAACCTGGAGGCCTGGCAGGACATGCCAGACGGGGCCGCCCCTTCTGCCTCGAGGGTGATGGCGTCGAGGACGCGGGGGTGTCAGCGTGCGTCTTGCCGTGTACGGGCGCTGGGCATACCTGCGGCGTGGGGGTTCTCGTCGCGGCCCTGCTGCAGCGCGGGGCCTCGCGGTTCGCGCTGCGCTGAGACGACGAGCCCGCGATCTTGGATGTGAAGACCCAGGCTGCCCGTGTCGCGAGTGAGCGGCGCGGCTTCGATATTGCGCCTGAGGAGACGCCTGGAGGAGACAGTGCTTCGAACGGTCTGGCAGAGCGCGCGGTGCGCGACATCGAGGCGCAGTGTCGCGTCTGGCGCTTCGCGGTGGAGCAGCTGCACATCGTGGCGGTCCAGCCGAAATTCCCAGCGCTCCCGTGGCTCGTCACGCACGCGGCCACGGTGATCAACGCCGTCATAAAGAGCCCTGACGGGCTTGCACCGCATCGACGAAGCACGTGGGGAGTCTATGTGCGAGCTCTCTTGCAATGCTCGGAGCAGGTGATGATGCTTCTGGCCGACAAGCAACCTGGCCGTATCTCACCTCGCTCGGGCATTGGTATCTTCTTCG